GAATTTTGCCTGAAACTCTCAGACTGAAGAAGTCTCTTGGAGGAGAGACGAAACGTTTCATTAAAGAAGAACCCGTCCAGAAGACCTATAAAAATTTTTTTCCTTTGATTTTTTTTACCTGGATTACTGAGATGCATCAGGATATGTTCAGTAAAGATCAGTACAAATCTGTTACAGGGATAAACATGTGAAATAAGATGTTTTGTTCACTAGAGTATGTGTAAAATTCAAGTCTAAAACAAATGTAACAGGCTTTGATTATTATTGTTTGTGAAACGATCCTTTTTGCCATTTGTAATGTCTGTATCCAAAGGTAGAATTGGTAATTCTTTCAGTGTAGATATTAAAGAAATGTCTTCAGAATAAAAAAGTGAAAATACAATATGCTTAAAGGTCTAAGTACACTTTCTTTTAGATTTATATTTTATATTTTGTCATTAAATCTGAGTTCAGTCAGTGTTTTATTTATCATGTTTGTTATTGTTAAAAAATAACAAAAACTTAAATATAAGCTTTTGTTTAAAAGGAGACATATGCTTTTAAATTCAGATCTTATTTAGACGTTTTCTCACAAATACTGTAACTAGTTCAGAAAACATAATAGAGAAAACTGAACAGGTTGAAAAATGTGACCCAAACAAAATATAAAGATATCTTTGCAGCACTTTGAGACTAAATCCAACCATTCTGCACTCCTAGTACTCCAAGTCCACAACAAAATGCATTTAACAGCTAAAAAAGTGGGTTTTGCAGGATATATCCCCTTCTGTTGTCAGTGAGATGCAATGCTCATCATTGTACAGCAGGCGGCAGTAACACTCCACACAAACATGTTCTTAGAGACCTAGAACTAAAAGGCAACAGGGTGGGACACAGAGGAAAACCTAACGTGCAGCAGTGAGAAGATAAATAATAGAGGGATGCACAAGAGACACAAAGAAAGGAGTTGGACTCCAGCCAGGTTTTCCCACTGTCAACAATAGCAAAGCGATCACTATCATGTCAGGAAGTGCCTCCACACAATAGCAGTCATGGCAACCCGCCCGGTCAAACAGGGAACTCAACATGGGACAAGGGCAGGTCCTCCCTCTGTCCCCGTCCCTCCATCCACACCATAGATGCTCTCCTTGTTGATGAGAGCAAGGCAGGAGCAGTAAATCACCAGGTTGTTTTGGTGAAGCAGAATAACCTGGTGATTATGGGACCTTTGTTTTCCACATGGCTGTGAAACCCTGCTCAGCCAGCTGAAAGTGAAGGGTGGTAAAACTGTTGCAGAAACCTATGATTCAGTAGTTCTCTTCACATCTCAGTAACCCTGGCACTTTAAAAGAGAACTAAAGGCCTCCTTGCCCTTTGTGTTTTCATATGCTCAGATAAACATGGCTGCCATTTTCCACCAGGACTTAAAAACTGCAGCATTCATGTTTTTCCTCTTTCCAGCTACACAGAACAGCCTCCTTGTTTTCATTTAGACTTTAAAAAAGTGATCAGTTTGTATAAATAATATGTAATAACAGAACAATACTTATCTAATGCGATAAACACGTTCAACATTACGATTATATTCAAAAAGAAAAAAATAAGTAGTTCCTGTGGATGGGTTCTTCTTTAGTGAAACGTTTCGTCTCTCCTCCAAGAGACTTCTTCAGTCTGATGAGTTTCAGGTGAACTCAGCCTTATAAGCACTGCCTCCACATGGACAAACAGGTTAGTCACATGCAAAAGAGGGCCATCGCCTAACAATAGGCTTGATGAGGTCTATTGTTCATAGAGGGTCATGTGCCCCAATCACCTGACCTGTGTCGTGTTATGTGAATGTAGTGAATGCATGCGGGGGTTCAATATCCCC